GGAGGGAGGGAGACGTGAGGGATGGAGTGAAGACAGAGAAAATAAAGTGAAATGGAATTCCTATTACTCTTAAGAATAGTTTTTGTTGATGTTGGCCATGTTCCCGGGCAGTGAGAAAGTACCCAGGGGCAGAACCAGGACAGTCAGCCATTGCCTCCCCTGCCTATCCTCCCCCATGCAACTAATACAGGCCTCTCGCCTGCTCCGGAGAGGGAATTTCATGTCTGGTATGGTAATCCTGGTCAAGAGCATGCGGCTGGGGTGGGGGTAGGTTATAGACCCTAGAGTACAACCTTCTATTGTTATTTTGCTAAATGGCCATGCTGTCAAATTTGCCAACTAAATATTTATGTTTATACCCATAGACCTGGACTGCACTCAGCCTTCATCAGAGATGCTTCTTTATGCAGGGGCAGCAGTCAAAGGAGAAATGCATAACTGGTCAAAGGGCTGAGAATAAGATGAATGCTCCACTCCAACAATGAGATATCTGTATTAACCACCATCCCCTACCACCAAGGCTCAATGAGCAATGAGCACTGGGGAAGAAGAGGCCAAAAAAGAGTAAGAGCTGGCGGGTGGGGAGGAGCACTGTGAGAAGTGTCTTCTGGACACAGCATGGCTGCTGCAACTGTAAACTCATGGCAGCACTGGTTACCTGCACAGCATCAATCCAGCCAAAACACCCAACATAGATAGGGTAGATGAGCCCCAGGCCCCACACTTTATTAAGAAGATATTGGCAGTGCTGGGGGAGGGAGAATGATTCTTTTTGAAGGGTGTGGCCATTGATAGGTTTCCCGTGCTCAGTGGATGGCTCCACACCCATGCACAAACGGGCAGCAGTAACTGAACTTAGTACAGTTATTTAAAAAAAAAATCACAAAGTTGGGAGGAAGAGTGTCAGAGAAGAAATGGATGGGAGTTGGAGGAGGGAAATGAGGGGTACGTGATTCCTATTTCATGATACACATGTATGAAAATCTTAAAGAATACTTTTTTTCAAAAGCTTAAAGCACTGATATGAAAATGATTTGAAATCAGCCATCTTAATTATAACTATAATAGCCTCAGAATAAAATATGTTGCCCAAATTTACTTTTAAAAGAAAGACCTGTATACAGAAAGGCCTGTATATGTTGCCCAAATTTACTTTCAAAGAAAGGCCTGTTTTCACTTCTTTACAGAGTATTTCTTTTCTTCTCTATACAAGAGCAGATCCAGTTTTTCACTGACCTGATGTTTACACAATTTAACACTTTATTATGACAAAGGAGACAAATTACAAATACCAAATGAATGCAGGCTCTTGGCAGAGGACTGCTCTGAGGCTCTGAAGGTTGGCTTTGCCAGCTTCAAGGTCAGTTGGCTTCTGTGCCATGTCTGAAGACGGTCTAGTGAAACACAGCTCCCATCTGGCAAACTAGCAAATAGCTATCAAGCCTCAGTCATCTCAAGACTCATGAAGCAAACATTAATTAGCTGTTATTGTTACTGTTATTGCTGTAGGTGCACAGAGATCATCAGTATCTGGTTATCTCCCTCCAAATATTTATCTTAGGGGGCTGGAGAGACGGTTCAGTCATTCAGAGCACTGGTTGCTCTTGTAGAGGACCGAATTCAATTCTCAGCACTCACATGGCAGCTAACAGCCATCTCTAATTCCAGTTCCTGGGTATCCAATGCCCTTTTCTGGCTTCCACAAGGTTATATAACTGCAAAGTACAGGCTAGTAATGTGTGTGTGTGTGTGTGTGTTGTTGTTGTTGTTGTTTCACAAATGTAGCGAATAAACAAAATATTGACTGGGAAAATAGTTGAGTGGGTAGAGTGCTTGCTTGTGCAAGCATGAGGACCCAAATTCAAATCTCCAGCACCCACACAAAAAGTTGGGCATGGCAGTATGTGCCTGTAACAGCCCCAGCACTGGCGAGAGCAGAGATAGCTGGATCCCACAGCTCACTGGCCAGCAAGTCTAGACAAAACAGTGATGCCCAGATTCATTGAGAGTCTCTGTCTCCAAAGAGAGCATAGAGAATTATGCAGTAAGACTCCTGATATCTACCATTTACCTCCACATGTGCACACACAGGACATGCATCCCTGCATACACATGTGTACACACATGTAATTTTTAAAAAATATGAATACCAATCTCCTGTGGTCCCACCTCTCTTGAGTTCCTTCTTTCCCTTTATCCCCAAGATTCCTTGTATAACCCTCCCTCATCTCCCATTTAAATACCCCCATTTTTTTTTTTTTTAAGTGAATTTGGGTTTACACCTATTGGTGTAAACACTCTGGGAAACAACCCTGAGAACCCCACATTGTAGAAAAGTGTAGCAGGTGAAGGAAGTTGAAGAAAATGAGATTAATGTGGAAAACAGATTCCGTATCAGATTATTCATGACAGATACAAATGAAAGTGTTGAGAA